CAAATTTCAAAAAGGATATTATTATGTTTTGAATATCTCTCAGCATAGTAGCAGTCATAGTACAGTTCTCTGTGTCCTGAATAGCAAATGGGTTTGTTAGGCATGGCCACCCTGTGTTCACCAGTTCTTTTCTATTTATATTTATCTATTTAATTTGCATACGATACTACACCTCCCTGAATTGAAGTGGTCATATACCCTTGTTTTTTCTTTTACTCTTCCTGATTATTTTTGTACTGTGTTGTCTTTCCTCTTTTCTGTCTTATTTTCTCTTTAATAGTGATCTCGGTCTCTCTTCATTTTCTTCTTCATACTTGACTGTCTTTTCATTTTCACTTTCTTCCATTTACTGCTCTGTTTCACTTTTATAATTTTCTGTTTCTTCTTGTTCTTGATCTTCCATTTCTACATCCTCCAGTTTGTTTCTGCTTCTGAATTGATTTGTATGTGCCAGTAGATGTTGTCCCTTTTTCTCAAGTATAGCCGTGTTGTGTCCTTTTTGTATCAGGAAATTTGCTTCTTCTGGATCAGCCTCTTTATTCTTTCTATACCATACCTTTTCTTTCATTGCAAAGGACATAGTTATTATGGAGGCTCTGATTTGTCTTCCTATTAATGCCAAAGGGCTCAGTTTTCTTCCCGCACGTAGAATGGATCTGTAACTGAGGAGCATTTTTGGTAGATACACTTCTATGCCTTCATTAAGTGGTGAGAATAGTTTTAATCCCATTTTTACCATTTGTACCATTCTTTTTGCAATGCCATTAGATTGTGGGTGATATGGTGGTGTCTTGAATGGGATGCATCCAGTCTGTTTTAACCATGCACATAAGTTCTCATTGCAAAATTTGGGTGCATTGTCAGTGACTATTGTCTGGGGTACTCCATTCCTTGAGAATATAGTTCTTACTACTTGCTTTACTGTGGTGACTTTTCTGTCTTTTACTCTGACAGCCTCTGTCCATCCTGAATATAGGTCCACTAATACTAAAAACAATCCCCTATCTTTGATATGTGTGTGATCCATGTGGACCCTAACCCACGGCTCCACTTCCTTGGGCCATGACTGAATTTTGGTTTACTTAAAGGTTTTTATTTCTGCACATTTTGGGCATCTCTTAATGTATTCCTTTACATCTTTTGAATATCCTGGCCACCAGGCTTGTAACTTTAGTCTTCTTTGTGTTGCTGTTATGCCACAATGCACATCATCATGTACTCCTTTTAAGATGTCCCTTCTCAGTATTTGTGGAGCTACTATTATATCCCTGTTGCATATTATGCCTTCTTCTATGGTTAGTTTGTGCTTCATTTTTTTAAAGTGTTGCTCTGCCATTGAACAGTTACTCCATATATTATTTTTTATTCTCTCTACTATTCTGCTTAATATTGGGTCTTGCTTTGTTTCTATTTTGAGTCTCTTTAGAGGAAGAACATCCATTTCTACCCAGTGTATTATTTTATCTTCAGCATTTTCCTGTTTTTCTTCTGTTTCATTCTTGAACTTTAATCTTGATAAAGCCTCTACTTGAGGGATAGTGTTCCCTTTTATGTATACTATGTCAAAATCGAATGCCATGATTTTTATTGCCCATCTTAAAATCCTTGACAATGTGACATTTGGCAGTTCTTTTCTTGGGTTAAATATGAATTCTAATGGTTTGTGGTCTGATTTAATAAGAATTTTTTCCTGTCAAAATGTTTTGTGCCCATTCCATGCTCCATACAATCACTAGTGCTTCTTTTTTAATATTCAATTAGTTAGTCACTGCTAACATTAACCTTCTTGATATGTACATGATTGGGTGTTCTTCTTGTGATAGCAATCGCCTTTTCACTCATGTCTGGTTAACGTTACTTCTTTTTGTGGATCAAAAACTTTTATTATTGATTTGTTCCTCAGTATTTTCTTTAGTGTTTCAAAAGCAATAGTTTGCTTTCGTGTCCAGTTTAATTCATAGTTTTTTTTTTTCATAATTTTGCAAATGGTTCTATTATGTCACTGTATCTACTATAAAATTTATTAGCCCCAAAAAGGATTCTAATTCTTTTTTATTTATTGGAGCAGCTATTTCTGTTATTTTCTCTGTTAGTCTATCATCAAGTGATATGCCTTCTTTTGATATCCTAAATATGATATCTTCTTACAGTCAAAATTACACTTGTCTTTGTTTACAGTCATGCCTGCCTTTTTTTAATCTCACTAAAATGTGCTCTATTTTATATTTTAATTCTTATTTAGTTCTTGCCCCTACACATGTATTGTCCTGGTATATTATTATATTTTTTATTTTTCCTAATAAAACTCTTTAAATTGCTTTTTGAAAAATATGGCTTGAAGTCTTTACCCTAAATGGTAAACGAGTCCATCTTAGTAAACCTATAGAGGTGTTTATCGTGGTGATTTCCTTGAATTTCTCATTAATTTCTATTTGACTGTATGCTGCCTTGAGATCAATTTTTGCAAAGTGTTCCAATTCTCCTAACTCATGGTTCACAGTTTCAATATTTGGCAAAGGAAAAGAGTCTGAATATATCTGGTAATTTACCGCTATTTTGTAATCATGTCAAATCCTTAAATCTCCATCAAATTTCTTTACCGCTACTGTCAGTGACGCCAAATTGCTACCACCTTGAGTTACTCTTTCTAGTATTCCTTGTATCATTTTGTTTAATTTGGCTTCTACCAAAGGTAGGATATGAATTGGAACTTTTCTTGACTCTATAGATTTTGGGTGATAATTTTCTTTTAGTTAGATGCTTGTTATTGTTTCATTGCCTTTCAATAATCTTATTCCATTTTCTTCTGATTCCATGAAATTGATTAGTGTCACTGTATCTACTTTTAATACATCAATTCCTGGTAATCTGTGATCTTTTTCTCATTCTACATCTGTAATGGGAATTATTTCAAAACACCTGTCAGTTTCAAAATTGCCTTGAAATGTACCCATTATTTTTATAGCCATTCCATCAAATTGCTTTAATTGGATTCTGCTTTTTTTAAATTTAGGTTGTCCTAATTTTATCCAGAAAGTTTTTGGTATCAATATGACTTCACTGCCTGTATCAACTTGCATGTTAAATATTTGGCCATTTATCTTTATTTTTTTCTCTACTTCTTTTTTGTGTATTCATTGTAAATATTTCAGTGTCTTCTTTGGAGAGGGTTTGTACCATTTGTACTTTTTCTATTTTCTTTTTGTATTTGCATACATTCTGAAAATGATCTCTTTTTTTTTGTGATTTTTTTGTAATAGTATGTATTATTTTAAGCTCTTTTGAAAGGAATTGTACCATGATTTAATAACACCTTAATACATGAACGGAACAGAATAGCTGAAAGAAAAGGAATGATGAACATGCTTTGTTCTCAAAGAAATTTTTATTTTAAGTCATAAACAAAATTATATACAAATATTTACACTTATGCATACAGAAAATAATAATGCATGCATAAAACAAGCAGCGTCAAAATGATTTAGGAAAATATTACTTATTTTGTTATTATAAATTAAATATGACTTTTATTTTATTAAGATATATTAAATAAGTGAAAAATAAAATATTAATTATTTTATTAAAAGTATTACTTATTTTAAATGAAAATATTACATGTTTCTCCTTACCTTTTTTCTGTCCATCAGGCTGCTATTTTTTCAACCCTATCAAAGCTTACTCTACAATTTTCCTTCCAAAACTTTTCGTTACAAACATTTGTCACCACAGTTTGTGCAATGCTTGTAATTTTATCCAGTTTTTCTGTATTTTTTATTTCATTTCATTCTATTTATTTATTGCTTATGTACTTATCTTAGCTTATCACTTTCAGTCATTCTGAGAATGATGTGAAAACACTGAAATATTAAAAAAAAAACAAAAAAAACTTTTGGTTTCCGGTGGTCAGGAATTGCAGATAAATCTTTTGCCTTTTTACTAAAGATTTCCTTGGCCGGGTGTTAATTTTTTTTAACCCCTGGCAGTCATATAATTGAAAATTACCAATGTACTTTGTTGCATTTTGACCCCCTAGGAATGTTGATTTCCTTCAAAACTCTCAATTTTATGCCTGACATAGTTTGATTATGATTTAGGCTTTCTGATTTTCAAAAAAAAAAAAATGGTTAATTTCCCATTAATGGGGAAAATTTTCACTATTTTTTCACATTTTACCCCCTGAAAAAAAATTTGAGTCATTTACATCAGCCGATTTTACTTTTAAATGAAATCCTTTGCTTTCAGAAAATACCTAGTTTCATGTGGTTCAGATCAAAAGTTTTCTTGAGATTTGTTTCAAACAGTCATTTTTCAATATTTTACCCCTAAAAGTATGAAAATCCATTTTTTCTACAGAAAAAATGCTATGACAAAATGACTTTTGCCATTTTTGTAATGATTTTTACTTGGGATAGAAAATGTTTACCATAGCAAACCTGACTTGACTTTTTATTTAAGTTCAGGGGGGCTGAAACCTCAAAGAGCTGTGTTATTCTAAACATAAAAATAAAAAAAAATTAATTCTTTATTATGTATTCATGTTAAAGTTTTTACTTAATAATATTTACCCAGTAGACCTTTCTACAAAGTTTCTATTTAATTTTTTTTTTTTTGTAACTTTTATTTTCTTTAGTTTTTAGATAGAAGTAAACTTTTATCATTAAAATATTTTTAAAAGCGAAGGGGTTCGTTTCGGTTGTACGTATTCTTTATTTGCAGTTGATCGCTTTTTGTAAATAAAATATTCGTGCAAAGTAAAACTCACTATTATATTTTCGCTTAATTTTCGTATGAATTATTTAGAATATTACTTAATGAGGACTCAAATCATAAAAAAATATTGGCTGAATGTATTACTTTGCTTTACTACTATATAGTAAGGTGTTTACTTTGGCGAAACGAAATTGCCTAGATTTCCAAACTAATTTTAGTAAAACCTATACATCTGTGTAATCAAATGTCGAGAAGAGCAAATGATCATATTTTCATTTTTCTGAATAATAATGTTGTCGACTGTCACCAGGAAATTAACCTGTCAGGTTTACCGAGGTCTGACAAAACGTCTTTTCCATGCAGGAACTAAACTTTGTCAACAAGAACAGACTGTAACCACCTTTCCGGATATCTATACAGACGATCATAAACAATTAAGAGAATCACTCAGAAAGGTTAATTTTTATTTTTTTGTTTTGTCAACCGTAACTTAATTTTTAATTAAACTAAACATAAATCATTCATTTTTTTCGCATATAAACACCTCTAGAATTGTTTTAGTTTTGCTTATTTTATTTTTTTTTTTACATAATTTATTTTTCTGCTGCAATCACTAAACAAAAAGGAATCGCTCAGGAAAGTTTGGTGGGTGGAAACATTTGTGATGATAAAAAATAACGAATGGTGAATAGTACGTACTTTGGAATTGATGAGAAAAAAAATGAAGAAAAAAAAACCACTCACATAGCTCAACAGAACGACAACAACCAAACAACTATTACCGCATCCATAAAAACTTTGCAACAGTTTGATAATTTTTAAAAGCGGCTTTTTTTTTAATCAAAGAAGTTCACAATATATTCTTTTATTTTTTGTAAATCAGGTCTTCTTAAAGAAAGCATTGATTATTCGGACTGTAAACATTTCATTCAACAAAATATTCGCAGTTGAGTAATAAGTAAAGAAATACATTTTCTAATAATGAACATCAAACCCGGCATAAACAGTGCTTTAGACTTTTGGGGTGCATTTTTGAGAGAACAAAAATATTATCCAAACCAAAAAAAAGAAAACAAATTTTGTAAAACTTGTTTGAGTTCAAATGTTGTGGCGTGTCATGTGGCGGTTCATAAAAAAAAAAAAACAAGTCTAATAATTAATTTTGTTTTAATACTAAATGTTTTTTTGTTTTTTGTTAACAATGAGAAATAACTTTTATTAACTTTATTAAATAACTTTTATTAACTTTATTAAATAACTTTAAACTTTTATAACTTTTGGTTATTAACATCTGAAGTGTAATTTTTTAATGTGTTTTTCTGTGCTTTTTGATCGAATCATCAGAAATAGAACAAAAGTTTAATAAACACTTGTCCTTGTCTCGTTTATCGTAATTGGGAAAGTTTTTTTTTTTTTTTATATTATGTGGCGAAAGATCTTTCTAAAAATAAAATTATCTGTACAGAACAACTGAATTAAAACATTTTTTTCTCTAGTTTTTTCTTTCTCTTTTCTTATTTTGATATAATAAAAAATAGAAAAGTATTTTTTTAAAAGTTTGTTGATTTTACCTCCAAAAGAAAAAAAACAATTTTATTAGTAATTAAATTAAAACTAATAAAATAGAAGTCATCCGTTAATTTTATTTGCCATTTGAAGTAAAGTGAGCTTAACGAACCACAAATTCAAATTACAGAAAAATGAACTTTAAAAAAGTTAGTTTTTGTATATTTTTATGATAAAATTTTATCAAACACATTAAAAATCACATTAAAGACCAATCAAACATGGAATTAACAATAATAATTTATGTAAAAAACAAAAGTGGTTTCTTATTGTACAAAAACAGTGGTAATGTTCATAAATGGCACAAAGTTGGTATTTAAAAAGTAAGAAAATGTTTTTTCTTATTACATTTTTTAATGAATACAAGAGTTTGTGAAAGTACTAAGTGTCTTGAGAGATGCTAGTTTCATTTGGTAATATGTCCTGTGAATAAGGAAAAGGGGGTTGAATGTATTAGAGAAGTAAGGTTTGAAATGATGAGAGGTGTAAAGGAGTGGTTGTTGAGGCCGAGATGCCTTTGATCCGCTCACAGTTGTAAGTGTTCATTTATCTGTCTTCTCTGTTCTCTGTGTGTCTCCTGTTGGAATCTTCTTTTTTTTCTTTTAGACAGGGGTAAGTTTATATTGTTAGTGAAGTTGAATGAGTATATTTATTATTGTAAAAAAAAAAAAAAAAAAAAAATACAATAATTGTGGCACAAGGCCAATGGGGGAGAAGGGAGTGTGGTCTTTGCTAACTATACTAGTCCTAATCACAATCACGACCCATTCATCCAATACAATTTATCAATTTACCACAAGAACCCATCTCTCACCATTCAATCCTGCATATACCACAATACCACACATTTACAGGGGACATACAAAACAGCCCATGGTATAAAAATCTTGTGAAAGTTCATAATAGCTAATCAAAAAATATATATATAAATTTTATGAATCATGAAATGAGAGGAGGGAATGAACCCTGAAAAACAAATAAAAGATTGTAACAAACCAAAACAAATCAGATATAAGTAGGACCTGTCCACCCTACAAAATAAGAGTGGCCACTGTATTCTGTCAATAGACAGAATCAAGTAGCACACTCACTAATGGAGCGGGAAAAGGATAAATTAAATGTTGAAGTTGGGAAAAAACAAAGTCTGACCCAGCTGAGATGAAAAAGGGGACAAAAATAAACTGGGGTGGTTGGGAATCTTGATATGGATCATAACCAAAGAGAATGCTGGGAACAGACCAGTAGTAACACTTATCCACATTAACTAGGAAAATAAATAGTGTCTAGCTTAACCAGGGTGAGGGTTTACAGGAAACCACCCTGTTGAGACCAAGAGAACTTAAAAGAAGAACTCCAAAATAGCCCCTTTCACACAAACCAAGCTTGCTACTTTCACCCACCTTTTGCTGAAATCTGTCGACATCAAACGCTTTCTATCAGTTCTGATCTTCACCTTCAGCTGATGCTGAAAGAATCCAATCAGAGCCTGATTCCTGCCATTCTCATCATCCAGATCACCATTCTTGCCACAGGTAGCAACATTAGAAACACTATTCATTTAAGGCCGTGAAAGGTCACTGGACTGAAGAAAGACCCTCAAGGCTGCTTGACGCTCGTTGAGGAAACTCAGCAATTTTCTGGGCCTATGGCAGAGCTTAACCCAGGAAATGGGAGGAGTGATAGTAAGGCTAGGGAAGCCATCTCTAACACTCCCCTCCAAAATCAAATCCTCTGTCAAAACATGGTGTAGGAAAGCCAACCTTGAGTCGTGTCAATGACTTACCAAGTGTGGCAATCCCAGCCCTCCATGACATGGACGCTGGACACAGGCTTCTTTACGGACCTTTTACTTGTGCCTACCCCACAAGAGAGTAGACAAGTGCTCAATTGCCTTCCTATGGTCTTTGCAAAGAGGAAGTACAGCCTCCTTCAGAGACAAGTCTTGACCAACACACTGATGTACTTTTGACCAATTTTTCTCCAGCTGGAGGTCAGGTCCAAACCCCACTTCAAGAATGCAGAAAGGACTGTCTGTCCAACTGAAGAGCTCCGGTAGATTGACCCACTTCTGGGTACCTAACTGCAAACCAGAAGACTTGTTGCAGTTAATCTTGGCCCCTTTGACCTTTTTGTACCATTCAAGCGCGTTCTGTACCACCTCAATGTCACTGCGGCACGACACAAAAGTAGTTATGTCATTGGCATATGCAGAAACCCTGACTTGAGTCCCACCAGGAACAGTGTTTTCATATAGAGCTGGACTGCACGTAGTGTCCTTCAGCCAGTGAAGGCGAGGCTCCAACACCAAAGTATAAAGTAGTGGCAACAGTGGGCAACCCTGATGGTGACCTGCAGGACAGCAGCCAGATACTGATGACCAACCCGATCAAATACCTTGTACTGATCCAAATTGATCAGTGCATCTTGCTCGTCAACTATTACACCCTCTAGGATCATGCAGATTAGATGCAGGTTGCTCTGAATTGTTCAGCCCCTCACAGCACAAGTCTGCTCGGGTCCCAACAGAATCTTGGCAACTGACTGCAAACACTCCATTAAGATCTTGGCCAGAATCTTTAACTCTGTGTTTAGCAGCATTATGGGCCTGTAATCATCTAATTCCCACCCACCATCCTTGTCCTTTTTTAACAGTGTGATCGCACCCCTGGTGATCCAATTGAGGATGGACCTCTGCCTGATCCTGTTATTGAATATGACAGTTGAAATTGGCACAAAGATGTGCAACAGCCTCAAGTACAATTCAGTGGGTAAACCATCAATCCTGGAGACTTGCCACTGCCGACCCTCTTCAATGCTAAATAGACTTTGCTCTCCATGATCTCACCCACACAGCTAGCCGCTTCAGCCAAATAGTCAGCAAAATTCTTCAACACAGAGACCAAGCTCCTTGGTAAATTAGCTCTTGAAATGCTGCCAAAGCATCTTGCACATGTCGTCAGTCAACTCCAGAGTATGCCCGTCCGGGGTATTAACCTCATACTTGTAATGATTGGAACCTCAGCAGATCACTTCCTTGCGCAATTCTGTGCCTATGTTCAAAGTTTTGTTAGACATCTTGTTTAACCTATGTCTAACTACTTGACCCTAGTAGAGTCTGCCTAGCTAAACCTATCTCTAGGGAATCCCCCCCAGCCTCTACCTGGGACAGACAATCTTTAAGTGTCTTCACCTTTTTAGCCTTCTCTAGTACGAGCCACTGGCTATATTTGATGGTGAAGGACCTAATCCGATCCTTAAGCCTCTTCCACCACCTATTACAATACCTATTACTCAGTAAAGATAGATTGAACTTACAGTGTCCAGCCATTCTAGGCATAGCATCTAACACTATCTGGGCATGTCTGTGTTCCAAATAGCCTAACCAGTTGACATAGCAGGGACAGATTTGAACTTTGGTTTCTCCATGGTCTTATCCGCCCTACTTCATCCAGCTAGTTTTTCTTTATTTGTGATTTTTTTCTCCTTTTTCCTCTTTGTCTTCATCTCTTACTCTTTTCAAGGATGTGGACGGAAGTGGGTGCATCTCTTCAATTTCCACCTCTTCACATTTTTGCTTTTCTTGATGGAAGTATTCCTGTTGCTCCTCATGTAGTTCCTCCTGTTGCTGTCTCTACTGGCTCTCCTGTACCATTTGGGGCTTCTTCTTAACCTTTTGCTGCTGATCACTTTTTGATTCTTTTGACTCTGGCTGGTGGGTAGGGGTTGCCACTTTTGTCCCCTTTTTAGCTATTTCCATCTATCCTCCTGGGCCTTTTATGGTTTTTGGAGGTGTCTGCACCTTTTCATTTTTCTTAGTTTTGTGGCTGAGATTGAGGTTCTAGTTTCTTTCCAAGGCATGCTTTGGAGTGATGCTCCATGGCTCCACAAG